CAGTTGTTATATTGTTCATCTCTCTTCTTTAGTTCTTCTTGGTCTTTGTTAAACATTTCTTGCATCTTCTCAATCTTTTCCTCCATTCTTTTTCCAGGATCCTTGATCATCTTCATTATCATTATTCTGAATTCTTTTTCTGGGAGGTTGCCTAGCTCCACTTCATTTTGTTGTTTTTCTGGGATTTTATCTTGTTCTTTCATCTGGGACATAGTCCTCTGCCTTTTCATTTTGTCTATCTTTCTGTGACTATGTTTTTTGTTCTGCAGGCTGTAGGATTGCTTCTTGCTTCTGCTGTCTGCCTTCTGATGGATGAGACTATCCAAGAGGCTTATGCAAGTTTCCTGATAGGAGGGACTGGAGGTGGGTAGAACTGGGTCTTGCTCTGGTGGGCAGAACCTGTGCTCAGTAAAACTTTAATCCACTTGTCTGCTGATGGGTGGGGTTGTGTTCCCTCCCTGTTAGTTGTTTGGCCTGAGGTGACCCAGCACTGGAGCCTACAGGCTATATGGTGGGGCTAGTGGCAGCCTCTGGGAGGGCTCACGGCCAGTGGGTCCTTCCCAGAACTGCTGCTGCCAGTGACCTTGTCCCTGTAGTGAGCCACAGCTGCCCACTGTCTCTGCAGGAGACCCTCCAACACTAGCAGGTAGGTTTGGTTCAGTCTCCTATGGGGTCACTGCTCCTTTAGCCAGGTCCTCATGCATGCAAGACTTTGTGTGTGACCTCCAAGAATAGAGTCTCTGTTTCCCCCAGTCCTTTGGAAGTCCTGCAATCAAATCCCACTGACCTTCAAAGTCAGATTGCCTGGGGATTCCTAGTCCCATTTCCAGACCCCCAGGCTCAGAAGCCTGACATTGGGCTCAGAACCTTCTCTCCAGTGGGAGAACTTCTGTGGTATAATTGTTCTCGAGTTTGTGGATCGTCCACCTGGCAGGTATGGGATTTGATTTTATCATGATTGTGCCCCTTCCACTGTCTCAGTGCAGCTTCTCCTTTGTCTTTGGATGTAGGGTATCTTTTTTGTGGGTTCCAGCATCTTCCTGTCAATGCTGTTCAGCAGTTAGTTGTGATTTTGGTGCTCTCGCAAGAGGAGGTGAGCACATGTCCTTCTACTCTGCCATTTTGAACCAATCTATTTTTGTGGACTCTTTAGGATTTTCTATCTATAAGATCATGTCACTTGTGAATAGGAATAGTTTCACTTCTTCCTTTCCAATTAAGATATGTTTTATTCTTTTTCTTGTCTAATTGCTGTAACTAGAACTTACAGTACAATGTTAAATAGAAGTGATGAAAGTAGGCATTGTTATCTTATTCCTGGCCTTACGTGGAGGGCTTTCAGTCTTTCATTCTTTTTTAAAAAATCTATTTATTTATTTCTTTATTTATGGCTGCATTGGGTCTTTGTTGCTGTGGGTGGGCTTTCTCTAGTTGCAGTGAGCTGGGGTTACTCTTCATTGCAGTAGGCAGGCTTCTCATTGCAGTGGCTTCTCTTGTTGTGGAGCACAGGCTCTAAGCAGGACATTCCCAAAGCATCAGTGCTGATCCCAGGCAGAGTAGAGAAAAAGGCCTTCTTGTGCCTTCTGGGCCACACCACAACATCTGGGTCCCAAAGCAGCTCTCCTTCAGTCCAAAGTCTTTCAGAGGAGCCTTTGAACTTTTTCAGTAACTTCTTACCTTCACCTTCCTTAAGCACAGTGGCTCTTATCTTCTTTTTTTTTCTTAGACTTGCAGGGAATTACTTCTACCAACCCCTTCTCCTCCTTCTATAACTTCTCCTTTTCTCCAACCACAAACTCCTTTCTCCTCCCCTGTACCAATGCAAACCCCACAAATATAAGCAAAGGCAAACAGATATTTGAACTTATCCTTGAAGGATAAATAGGAGCTCACCAGATGGGAAAATGTGAGCAAGTTATTTCAGGCAAAGGGAACAATGGAGCAAAGAAAGAGCCGGGCATTCTTGAAATAATCAAGCAACGGAGATCATCTTGTTTTTATTCAAAACCCTACTACAATGTTGCCTTCTCTGAAAAGTGTTCCCTGACAACCCCCAACACTTTCTACCCCAGCTATTTGTGCTCCTACAGGGCAGTTATTTCTATCAATTCAACATTTATTGAGCTCAAAATTGTGCTAAATGCTAGGAATACAGAGATAATAAGCATAATCCCTACCCTCAAGATTATGAAAAATAGAGGAAAAGAACATTTTAACTATATCTAAGAGAAAGAAACACTTGATATTGAGTGTGCACGGTGCAATTAGTGGTGTGAGGGCAATGCAGAAGCAAACGCTATCCTAGGTCAACGCCTAACTCACCACACCATAGCTACATGTTTACCTGTCAGACTCCTCTACCACACAGTGAGTCCAGAGAACAGATAATGTCTTATTCATTTCTATATTCAGTCTTCAGTCCAGAAACTGGTACATAAAAGGAATCTAATAAATATGGTCTGAATGCCATGATTTCTAAGGATTTTACTCACTGAATTGGCATAAAGCTGAGCAAATAGTACAATGAATGGCCTGTTAAATAAATGAATGATTTCAATCTATAAAAACAAAGGAAACTTAAAGGTCTGTGCTAGAGAAGGAAGAACAGTTCTTGGAGAGTCTCTGGGCCACAGGGTATGCTGAGACCCCTTACAAAGAGAAACTGGTCCTAAACATCCTGGACAGAGAACCTCCAAAACAAGGGATGGAACTGTGCTCATTCACTCAGCAGTATTCATTGGGTGCCTACTATGTGCCAAGCACTGTTCAAGAATGTCCAGCACCGTGAACAAGACAGAAAAAATCCTTGCTTTCATGGAGCTTACATTCTTATAGAAGGGAAAAAGAACAAAAAAACAAATATGCCAATTACAGAGTATGGTAGAAAGTAAGTATTACAGAGAAAAACAAATTCAAAGGCAGTGAGTACACAGGAGTGAGGGCTTGTGGTGAGGAAAGCGTGGTCACAGAAGGCCTCCTTGAGAGGGGATATTTGCATTAAAGACCTTATGGAGACGAAAGAGTGAGCCATGTGGACACCTCGGGGAAGAGCATTCTAGGCAGAGGGAATTACAAGTGTACAACTCTGGCCTGTTCAAGGAATAACCAGGCCAGCATAGTGTGAGCAAAGGGAACAAGGGGGAGAGTTATAGGAAATTAGACTAAAAAGAGAAAAATGACCAGATCATTCTGGCCCTCATAGGCCATTGTAATTGCTTTGTTTTGTTTTTTCTTGTTGTTTTAACCTATTTTACTGAAATATAGTATACAAAGAGAAAATTACAAATCCTAAGTGTCAGTTCAAGGAATAATCATAAAATGAATAAATCTGTGTATCCAGACACAGGTTAAGGAATGGCACATTACCAGCAGCCCAGAAAACCCCCTCTATGCTCCCTCCTATTTGCTATCCCTCCCTCCTCTTCAAAGGTAACCCTATCCTGACTTCTAAAATAATAGATTTGTTTTGCCTTTTTTTTTTTTTTTTTTTTTTTGCGGTACGCGGGCCTCTCACTGTTGTGGCCTCTCCCATTGCAGAGCACAGGCTCCAGACGCGCAGGCTCCGCGGCCATGGCTCACGGGCCCAGCTGCTCCGCGGCATGTGGGATCTTCCCGGGTTGGGGCATGAACCCGTGTCCCCTGCATCGGCAGGCGGACTCTCAGCCACTGCGCCACCAGGGAAGCCCTGCCTGTTTTTTAACTTTAAATAAATGTAAGCATGCCACTGTATTCTATTTGTATTTGTATTTTCTTTTTTCACTCAAGATTTTGCTTGTGATATTCGCCCATGTGATTCTGAGAGGGAAGAATGATCAAATGACAAACAACAGCATGTTAAAGTGCTGATGGGAAAGGTGTAGTAAAGAGAGGGAATTGATGGCAGTGTTCATGTGGCATGCATGTGACAGTTTGAGAAAAAGAGAGCAAGTGTGAGGTCACCCAGGAGCTGAGTGCAAAGATCCCAAGAGACATTTCCTCCCTACTCAGATCCTCTCCTGAGAATTAAGAGATCTTGAGAAGGTTGAGGTTGTGGTAATGGTTACCTATTCATTGTTTCACTCAAACATTTCCATATCCTACTTTGTGTCAGGCACAGTACTGAGATATAAAGATAATTAAGGCATGGTCAGCTGGACAAACAAGTAAACAGAGGGCTAAAAAATGGTATGATAAATGCTAGGAATTTGGCAAAGGATAGTAAAGAAACATCTTCTTTAAGAATGATTGTGACTATTTCACCTTTTTTGCTTGAACATTAATGGCTCTGAGAGAGGCTCATTAGAGTATAGTCATTATATGTTACTTTGAGGTTAAATGTATTATTTTTATGCTTATCAGTTTTTATCTCCTCAACTACTAGACAATAATCTTTTGGGAGAATAAAAGATATCTTCTGGTATCATGGAAAGAGCACAAAGTAGTTAGAGTCAAAGGAGTTGGGTCTGAATCCTGACTCCGTTATTCCTTAGCTAGGTAACCCTGGGAAAACTAGGTAACCTCTCTGTGCCTCAGATCCTTTCTATAAATGGAGATGGTAATATTCATCCTACTGCCTCACAGAATTGTTGTCAGCATCGAATGAAATAATGTATAAGAACTGTAAATTCCTATTACTAGTCCTCTAAATCTCACAAGCCTACTATGCTGAACACAGTAAGTATTTAATAAATGTCAAGCTTTGATTATATTTCATCAGCAAATACTTGTGGGTTTTGAAGTCTGTCCCAGAGAGTTGATATAGTTGTCCCTTTCTATCTCATGCCCAGATAACTCAGAAGCTGGGATCAGATAGTGTGGCCATGACTCAGGAGTGACCAGCTAGTGTGGGAGGGTAGACTGGCCAGGATCATCTGGACCAACTACTCATTAAACAAGAGTGCCAGACATTTTGCTGGGGTGGAGCCTCTGTGATTGCCCATTTCAACACTCCTCCTAACCCTTTCCGTTTTCATCATATTTCTGAACTTCAGTATCAGAGAGCTCTAACTGACTGGCAGAGGATGGAGAAAGGGTGTGGGGAGCAGGGGGAGGTCAGGGAGAGTTACAGCAGTTTCCTTTCTGTGTTCACAGGGAACACAGCTTCACAAACCATCTCAACCCCACTGATTGTGAACGGGGTCCTGGGGGAGTCTATAACACTTACCCTGAAGTTTCCTGTGGAAGAGAAGATCACGTCCATCACCTGGCTTCATAATGGAACATCTACCATCTTCATAGAGCCAAATAGAGCACTAAACATGGTGACTGACCCAAAGCGGAAAAATCGATTGAATGTCACAGAGTCCTACTCCTTGCAGCTCAGCAACCTGACGATGGCAGACACAGGACTTTACAGCGCCCAGATAACCACACTGACCTCTTCACTGTTTACCAGTTATGATCTGAGGATCTTCAGTGAGTCAAAGCATGGGGTTTAATTGTGTATGGACTGAAAAATAGTACATATTTCAATTCTATGTGACTGCAAGTGTGCACTATAGATTAGTGGTAAAAAGCATGGCATTTGGAGCTAGACTGAGGTCCAGCAACAAAACTATTCAATGGCATTGCACAGCAGTTAGTGACAGAGCTAAGATTAGAACCTAAGTCTTGTGACTTCTAGACCCTGTACTAGGCTCCATTACACTTGTTGAGACAAGTTTCTTCTGCCACTATTTAGAAGACCAAGCACAACTTCTGCAACACCCACACTCCTGAGGCTGAATGCCAATGGCTTCTCAGGGCCTATTGGAGTGCCTCTCCTTCAAAGGCACATACACAGAGAGATGTGTAAGCTACACCAACATGTTTTACAATTGTGCAAAGGAATTTTAAGATATAAATTATATAGGTTTTCTTTTAAAAAACACTGGCCAATTGTTCTGTATGTACTAGGCTAAGGATGGCAAAGATTTGATCTTATGGGCCAATATCAATTAATTGAGAGTAACTGTCTAGGGTTCAGTGTTAAGAAAGATATCAGAGTCATGTTGTTTATTCACTGAGTCAACAGTATTTGTTAACCAAGGATAATCTATGAGACACTGCTTTATGCCCTTGAAGTACATCAGTGAACAAAACAAAGGTCCCTGCCCTCATGGAACTGACATTCTGGGTAGGGAATATGGGAGCAATAATAAACAGTACACATAATATATAACCAAATGACACAGTAAGCTGCGAGTGCTATGGAGAAAGAGAGATTAGAACAGAATAAGGAGCATCAGAAGTGCCAGAAAGCAGTGGTCAATTTTAAATGGAGTGATCATAATAGGCTTCATTGAGAAGATGACATTAGAGCCAAGACATGTTGGAGGTAAAAGAGTGAGCCATGCAGATATCTGGATGAAGGGCCATCCCGCACAAGCACTCCCTGTGTCTGGCAGCTCAAGGAATATAAAGAAGGTCAAACATCAAGGAGCAGAGTAAGAGAGAGAAATGAGGTCAGTAAGGAAGTAGGGGGCCATATCTTCTAAGGCTATGAGAGCCATCACAAGGACTTTGGCTTCTATTTTGGGGGAATGGACAACAATTGGAGGGGTTTGCAGAGAAGTAATATAATTTAACTTACTTATTTAAAGGATCTCTTTGGACAAGGGTGGAAGCCACTGAACCAATTAGGAAGCCATTGCAACTATCTAAGCAAGAGGTAATACTGGCTTGGAGCAGAGTGGTAGCAGTGGAGGTAGTGAGAAGTGGTTGGATTCTGGATATATTTTAGAGGTAAAGCCACCAGGATTTTGTGATGTGGGAGTATGAGAGGAAAAGATGAGTCAGGGATGACTCCAGGGCTTTTGGCTTGGATGACTGGAAGGATGCAGTTGTTGTCAACTAAGATGGGGCAAGTTGCAGATTGAGAAGGTTTTGGAGAGAAAAACAGGAGTCTTTTTGAACATGTTGAGTTGGAGATACACATTATATCCAGGTGGAAATGTCAAGTCATTAGTTATATATTCATCAAGTGGAGAAAGATATCAAGATAGGTTTTTTTTTAAAAGGAATTTTGCCTTTTTTAAAAATTAATTAATTAATTTATTTATTTATGGCCGTGTTGGCTCTTCATTTCTGTGCAAGGGCTTTCTCTAGTTGCAGCAAGCGGGGGGCCATTCTTCAGCGCGGTGCACCGACCTCTCACTATCGCGGCCTCTCATTGCAGAGAACAGGCTCCAGACGCGCAGGCTCAGTAATTGTGGCTCACGGGGCTAGTTGCTCCGCGGCATGTGGGATCCTCCCAGACCAGGGCTCGAACCTGTGTCCCCTGCATTGGCAGGCAGATTCTCAACCACTGCGCCACGAGGGAAGCCCCAAGATAGGCTTTTGAGGTCAACAACAGACACTGGCTGAAGGAGATGTAATATTCATGCCAAATATTTGCCATTTCTGTGCTACATGCTGTCTCATTTAATCCTCATAATTACCCAAGAAGTAAGTATTACTGCCCAGTTTTATAGATGAGGAAACTTAGGCATGAAGAGACTAAAATTTGTCCATGTAGCCAGTAAATGACAAAGCCGTGATTCTAAACTAGGTCTTCCTAACTCCAAATCCAACACTCTTGCCATGACATGAAAATTCTATTCTAGCAAGGTATGTTCCACCACCCCTACTCAGTTAGCTAAGCTTAAAGCATTACTTAATCTCTTCTAATCAGACAGTTGGAGTCATTCTGTTACTATTGGGTCACCTTTATTTCAACCCTTGGGCGGAGTCTAGGTCAAAGGGCTTTTCTGCACTGCTTTCATGTTCCCATTGATTCACAGCCACTGACACCCTACTAGGTGATATTTTCTGGTCTCTGCTCTCAGATATTTCTGCAACATATGTAGTCTCAAATATATTGCACTTCTTTCTTCCCCAGAATTTCTTGCTTTCTCTCTGTTTCTTCTCAGATATTTCTGCAACATATGTAGTCTCAAATATATTGCACTTCTTTCTTCCCCAGAATTTCTTGCTTTCTCTCTGTTTCTTCACTTCTTCCTTTCCTAATTCTTTAATTCTCAACATTTCCCTTTCTGACTTGGTGACACTCTACATCAAGGTCTCTTTGTCATCATTTGAGCCAGCAACAGCTCCAGTGAGAACCAATATTCCCACAGATTTGTGGGAAATACAGTTCTCCAAGAGTGTTAAGTTTTTATCTTCCATCCCATCTAGGGAATTCTGACAATGGAGAAGTGTGCCTGGTCTTCTGGTTTCGGACCTGGCTGAGGTAGGGCTGGCCCTTAGCTTAGTCTCCAAATTATCTTTACATGAGGGGCGGTGAACAAGTGTTAGAAGGACCCCCAGGAAGAAACTGGAGCTCCAAAAATTAAAGTGATCAGCTTAAAATCACCCGACTAGTTGGCGACAGCCCCAGTCTTTCCCTTCTCTCTCTCCCACTGCCTACTCTGTCTCATACTGATGTCCCTTATCATTTGGTCACCCCATACCTTGATGTCATCAGTTAGGCAGTACATGCAGAGTTATTTACAGAGTACACAGCTGTGTCAGGTGGAATACAGAAACATCAAGGTGAGAGATATTTTTCACAGAGGGCTGAGCCAAGACATTTGTCCTTAATCCAGGCCTCTTCTCTGCACACAGGACGACTGAGGAACTTACAAGTTGTCCCTCACACTAAATGGTCTAAAAATAGGACCTGTGAGATCCACCTGACCTGCTCTGTGGAGAATCCAAATGATAATGTATTATTCAGGTGGCAGGTCTCAGGAAACACACTTCAAAGTGAAGCAAACCTCACTATCTCCTGGGACCCCAAGAGTTTCAATGAAGAGACCTACACCTGCGTAGCTGAGAATCCTGTCAGCAATTCATCCTTCTCTGTCTCTGTCCAGAGTCTCTGCAAAAGTAAGTATGTCTCAGGTCTCTCTGAGAGCCTTGAGTGGCTGTGAGGTGTGGGGTGTCTCTTGTGCTTTTTATGATTCCTAAAACAGCAGCCCAGTAGGAGACAGCCAAGTGACACTGGGAAGGGAAAGACATCCCCTGGGGCTCCATGCCTCTCACTCCCCCAGAGGTCTCTCCTTCCTCCCTCCCCCTCCACCAACCCTTTCTCCAGCCCACTCAGATCCCAAGAGCAAAGTCCTTGGGAAGGCAGGATTGCTTCCTCCCACTGGCTCTACCATGCTCCACCATGCCGTCTGCCTAAATGGGACTCCCACTCCCAGAAAGCCTGCTCATACCCCCAGAGTCTCTGGGTATAGATGAACCCACCCAACTCCCAAAGATGGTCTAGAAGAGATGCAGTAGAGGCTCTAAAAAACCACTCTGGGCCTCACTCGATATGTCTCAAGTGCAACTTCCTTTTTTTTCTTTTTAGGTGTTACTAATGAAAAAAATGAACAGCTGGATACCACGTGGATTGTAGTGGCAGTTTCTTCAATATGTATAGTCATAGTCATCATCGTGTCATTATTTGTTTGGAGGAAAAAAATAGGTTTCCTTTCTTGCTACTTACTGTCTCTTCTCCAAGGTTCCAGAGACTTAGTGTTTGGGGCCTCCAAAAGACTCTGTCTTGTAGAAGACAGATAAAGGGAGGGAGGATGCAAGCCCTGGCTCAGCTGGTCCACTGGGACAACACCTGGATTGTGAATACACATGTGCTAATCTCCTAGAAAAGTGTCTTACTGTAAAATGCAGGACCCAGTCTCAGGGTCTGCCTGCCTTTCCCTTTTGGGTCCCCTTCCACCACACCCTCTAGAGAGACACATCTAGGGGTAGGGGGTGGAAGGCTTCTCTCACTATAGTCACAGATTTCAACAGATTTCAATTGATTTTATTTTTCAGGTTTCTTTCAATTCTCTACTCAGCAAACCCAGTGTCCTGGTGAGCTTCCAGACTCTTAACTCCCAATCATAAAACATATGGGAAGAACCAAGTGAAAAGGAAAGGGAGGGGCTTCCCTGGTGGCACAGTGGTTGAGAGTCCACCTGCCGATGCAGGGGACACGGGTTCGTGCCCCAGTCCGGGAAGATCCCACATGCCGCGGAGCGGCTGGGCCCGTGAGCCATGGCCGCTGGGCCAGCGTGTCCGGAGCCTGTGCTCCGCAACGGGAGAGGCCACAGCAGTGAGAAGCCCGCGGACCGCAAAAAAAAAAAAAAAAAAAAAAAAAGGAAAGGGGGGCAGTCAGAGGGCTGTATAATGAGAGAGGAGGGAGTCAGAATGTCATTACTCGGGTGGACCAGATGGTGCAAGGGGATAACACCTGGAACTGTGCAAGTTTGTCCCCTGTGTGACTTACAGGGTCCCTTACAAGCATGCAAACTGGTCACTCATGCAATTTCTTGGGGTAGGATTAGGGTCATTCCCCACTCTGCCAATGGAGAGACTAAGCTCCAGTGAAAGGACTCATGACCTGTCCATTATCAACAGGAGGTGCAGGGTAAAGACAGGATTACAGCATCAAATGCCCAAAAACAAACTGCCTGACCCCGTCACTCTCTTCAGCCAGGGTTTGGGCATTGAGTGGACACAGTCAAAAGAGAAAGTATGATATAGAGACAGAAACACAGGCTCTGGACTCAGATTGACATTGAGTCTCATTTCATGGGTGAGAGATACATGACTTCATGTATGGAGGACCTGGCATGAGGTTTGGAGTCAGAAGGCATGCATTCAGATTCTTGTCTGATCACTTCCTGTGTGAGTTTGCACCAAGTCTGTAAAACTTTCTGAGGCTCCAGTTCCTCATCTCTAATATAATCAAACCCACTCTAAGGAGCTCTGAAAAGTTTAATAGTATTATATATGTGAAATAATCTGGCTCCATTATGCTCACCAGTGAGGTTCTCTAGCTCCTGTGTAGGCAGTGCTATTTGGTCCCAGAAGCTTCCCTTCCTGTGAAGCCAGAGGGAGACTCTGAGGCTTTAGGATAGCTCAAGACAATATGCCCCTGAGGAGATGAGGTCAGAAATAGACCACATGGCTGAGAATGTTCTGTTTCAACCCAGAACTCCAAAGACTGTCAAAAATGAATGAACCCTAAGGAAGGGCCATGCTTTGAACAACTGCCTCTCTGGGGTCGGAGAATGGCCTGGGGTAGACAAGGTCCTGGGAGAGCAGACCAGAGTCCTTCAGCTACTGACTGTGCCTTCCTGTGTTAACAGCAGAGACTGTGAGGAACTTAGAGTATGCTTCCTTCTCTCCAGGGAGTACTGTGTATGCTCAGGTCACCCATTCAAACAGGGTGAGTACTTTCAGGTTTATAGTCCTTCATGGTCATTATTTTTACAGTCATTATACAAAACCTTGTCACCAAACTTTTCTAAATTCAAATGACATACACTATTGAGGAGAGGCAAAGGCAGTGACAAGAACTGCAGAGTTATGTGTGGGACCTTTCTAGACCTCAATGCTCACACTTCAGTAGAATGTTGACTCATACCCTGCTTTACATTGCTTAATCTAACTGCTTAATGCATCAGTAAGTCTTGTTCCTTCAGCTTAATTACAAGCTGCCTGGAGGTGAAAATTATGTCTTCCTCTCTCTTCCCCTATGTTTTAGCATGATGCTCAGTAAATACTTGCTGGATGGATCAGAGTTCATTTAAGTTTGAGAGCCCCCAGAGGGCATGATTCTGTATCAGGGGCTTTCTCATCCTGGATGTAGGGGAAATAGGGGAGCTCAGAAGAGTCTCTCAAGAGGGAACAGGGGCAAGAATTTGCAATCCCTCAACAGTAGAGGACACTAAAGGCATGAGCAGTCCTCAATCGTCCCCTGCCCTCTAGCAACATAACAGGATGGCCTTGGTCAGGCATCAGGAACTCCTTGCCATGCATCAGTAATTCCCCATCAACCACAAAATAAAGCACCTGCAGGTGGTACATTTCTAAATAACACTACACATCCTGGGAGGCCATTTTCCATGTCTTCTGAAAAATAAGCCAAGAGAGCCAGCATTCTTCAGTTGATGGAAACAATGGTCTGGCTAGAAATCTTGGATTCCACAAGCAAATCTCCCTTCACAAAGCCCCTCACAGGTATTTGCAAAGTAGACTCTGAAGCTAGCCAATAATAAGAAGTGCTCTCACTTCAGATATTTCAATTGCCTTTCCAATTTCCTCTTGAAGACAAGATGAATTACTCTCAACAAACCAAGAAACTCTCCGGCAAGTTTGTTAACTTTTGCTTAGCAAAACATGGTACTTTGGAGAGTTTCAGAGGTTTTGATAACACCCCAAATATGCCTTACTTAATTTAAAATACCAAAAACTATGAGGATGGGGGACTTCTGTTACTGCCACACTTTTTACTCCAAGCAGAGCCATTCTTAAGACAAGATATTCCTGCTCTACCAGTTCCCCATGCTTGAGGAGAACCCCAATGACATGATGACCAGGCAAATAGAATCACAGGGGTAAAATGAAGCAGGCAATAACTCCAGTTATAGGTAGTAAAGATCTGAGACAAAAGATATAATACAATAACCATCTGGTGTGTAGGTTAGTTCCTAAAAATAGAGGAAGGAGAGTAGAGTTGGATACAGGACAAGAATGTTTTCTTTCCTTCACACCACCTGCCAACAAGGTCGCCCTTCTCTCTCTCTCTGGTTCTTGAGACCACTGGTTTGCTGGAGTGTTGTTCTTCTGTTTGGGGCTCAGAAAAGGTGACTAATCCTTCACAGGTTTAAGGGCTAGTGGTGCTTTGTTTCCAGCTTCTCTTGCTAGACACTCCCTAGCCTTCCTCCTAAAGAACTTTGACATCATCCCTCTTTTGTCACACTGCCTTTCCCAAGAATATACAGTAAGTCCATTACATACGAATGAGTTCCATTCTGAGAGCGTGCTCGTAAGTCCAATTTGTTCTTAAGTCCAACAAAGTAACCTAGATACCCAACTAACACAATAAGCTATATAGTACTGTACTGTACTGTAATAGGTTTATAATACTTTTCACAAAAATAATACATAAAAAGCAAACAAAAAAATAAAGAAAACATTTTTAATCTTACAGTACAGTACTTTGAAAAGTACAGTAATATGGTACAAGAGCTGGCATACAGGGGCTGGCATCGAGTGAACAGGCAAGAAGAGTTACTGACTGGTAGAGGAAGAGGACATGGGAGATGGCAGAGCTGAAGGATCTCCTGCAATAGGAGGTGGAGGGCAAGCTGCAATTTCACCCATGCCTGATGTTGATGGCACAGGTTCTGGTTCCTTGCTGCATTCAATTTTAACTATTCTCTTGAAAAAATGATCCTGTGATGTCTGGGTAGTAGTTTTTTTTTTCTCACCATAAATGACATGGTAGCACCAGATCACATTCTGAACGGCTGCTGCAACCTTCATGTACTGTTCTATATTTGGGTCCTGTGCCTCAAAAACTAACAGTGCCTCCTCAAATAAAGAAAATCCCCTTTCCACTTCCTGTATCATGAATCTCTTCAGTTCTTCAATTACTTCTTCTTCCTCTTGTCTCTCTTCTTTCTTTGAGCCTCCAATTCTATCAGGTCTTCATTAGTAAGCTACACAAAGTAAGTACACAAAAGCTTGTGTACTTACTTTGTTGTCAAGTACACAATCACTTGACATGACAATGTACACAAGACACGTGAACTAACTTACGTGATTCGACATGTGAACACATGTTCACATCTTTGAAATATCACAACTTGAAGTCTCATAAGTAGGGGACTTTCAGTATCTGTGCATGAGTACATTTCTCTTTATGTGGGCCAAATTGGTATGATTTTGTTTTACAGGAAATGGAAATCCCAAAACCTGTGAAAAGCAATGACTCCAACACAATTTACTCTGAAGTTCAACAGCCCCAAGAGGTAAGCCTATGATTGACACCTCTTTTTACATTCTTACCTCTTTTCTCAGACCTATGACTTTGCAAATATAGTAAAAGTAAAGGGGCCATTTTACAGATGCACAAATACCAGCAGGATACAGAAAGTCTCAGGACACCTCCAAAACATATCTAAGAAGCTACCTTGTATTAGGATCACCACACATAACTGAGGTTTTAACCTACTTGTTTTTTAAATTTAATCCTGCTTATGCTGTCAATATCCCTTTCTGCCTGTTAGTGCTCTCCAAACCACCTCTATATCGATGAGGAGTGGCCTGACACTCTAGTCCCTATTTACCTACTTTATTTTTCTCTTTCTTCCATTACAGAAAGCCCATCTATTCCAGGACAATTGCCCTTCACAATGTCATGTAATTTGCTGAAAGTCTTCAAAGGAATTCAGGAACGACACATCTTCTCCCAATCCTATGAGAGAGAACAGAGCTTGGTTTCTGGCTGACAACAGCATTTGAATATGTAGGATTATCAGACTTGAATCTGCTTACTTAGGTCAAACATTTAAGGAATAACATCATCTCCAGAATATGACCCAAATAAAAATTTCTAATCAGCTCCAAGTGAAAACATACATCAGATACCATGCTTGAAAAAATCCTCAACAAAATACTAGCAATCCGAATCCAACAATACATTAAAAGGATCATACACCAGGATCAATATCAATTGATCAATTTCAATATCTGCAAATCAATTGGTGTGATACACCACATCAACAAATTGAAGAATAAAAACCATATGATAAGGGGGTGGAGTCAAGATGGCATACTAGGAGGATGCGGAATTCGCATCTCCTCACAACTAAGGCACCTACCGGGCACTGGTAGGGGACCACGAACACCTAAGTGGACAGGAGGAACCCCCAGCAACCAGGTAGGGCATGGGGGGAGTGTAGGGGTAGAAGAAGTGGAGGTCAGAGGGGACTGGCATCCCTGAGGGGTGGCTGGAGGAGGGGAAGGGATCCCACGCTCAAAGGGGGAAATTGGGGAACCACTGGGAGGGCAGAGGATCAACAGGGAGCATGACCAGGTTTCTCCTGCCCACTTGGGCCCCCAGGAACCTGCTGAGATCCTGGGCCTGATCCTCTGCCCACCTAGGGAACCTCCAGCCACACGGGTCTAAGGGAGAGGGAGGGAGGGAAAGGGGAGCAAAAGTAAAGGCCAGACCTCTAGGACCAGCACCCCTGAGGGGTGGCTGGGGGAGGGGAGGAGTTCCTACACCTAGCGGGACCCACCCATGGTTAGGGGTCCAGTGGCTACAGGGGAGACCCTGGAGGTGACAGTGGCGGAGGGGCACAAAGGAATGGAAGGGAATGTGGCCAGTGCTTTCCCTGTCCACTTAGGCACTGGAGAGCCTGTTGGGCTCCCTGGCCTAATCCTCTACCCTTGGAGTCTCCCTCCTTACCCACAAAGCCCAAGCCCTGTTCCTACACCCCCACCCAGGGCTCTACCTCTACACTCAGAGACCCCTCTGAGACCCCCTTCAATGTGCTGGGCCTAAACACCACCCACACACCCTCACTCAGGGCCCTACCTCCAAACTCTGGAACTCCACACTCCAGAGGCCCTCCTTTCTACGTACTGCCTCTTCCCTTCCATGCAGGTCCTAAGCAGAGGCCCCGCCCCACACTTGAACATTGTCCAGCCTAGGCCCCGCCCCCAGGGCCTTTTCTGGCTATGTGGTCCTGAGCCTAGGCCCCGGCCCACATGCAAACATCATGCTCCCCCCTGCCTAGGTCCCGCCCCACCCTAAACTCCGCCCATGCCTAAGTTCCACCAATGCCTAAACTCCACCCCCATAGCCAAGGCTGTTTTTTCCTTTTTCCTCTTTTAGATTAGTGTTCTGTTTTACCTTGTTGATTATTTTATATTTTCATTTTTCCTAATAAATCTTTTATTTTTCTAATTTTATTTTATTCTTTATACTTTGTTATTGTTCTCTACTTTTGGCTTGTTTCCCACCACCACCCTTTTTTTTTCCTTTTTTTCTTTTTTCTGTTGTGGTTTTATTTTACGTTGTTGAAGTTGTTTCAATTAAAATAAATCTTTTTCTAATTTTATTTTATTCTTTATACTTTGTTATTGTTCTCTACTTTTGGCTTGTTTCCCACCACCACCCTTTTTTTTTCCTTTTTTTCTTTTTTCTGTTGTGGTTTTATTTTACGTTGTTGAAGTTGTTTCAATTAAACTTATATTGTTCCTAATATATTTTTTATCTTTCTAATTTTATTTTGGTTTTTAACTTTGATATTGTACTGCTCCTTTTTATCTTTCTTTCTTTCTTTTTTTTTTTTTACCATGTCACGAAGCTCACAGGATCTTGGTTCCAAAGCCCGAGGTCAGGCCTGAGCTCCTGTGGTGGGAGCTCTAAAACCAAATCGCTGGACTAACAGAGAACGTCAAACCCCAGGGAATATCAGTAGGAGTGAGAACTTCTGGAGGTCCTCATCTCAGCACCAAGACCCAGCTCTATGCAACTGTCTGTAAAATCCAGTGCTGGACATCTCAGGCCATACAACGAGTAAGACAGGAATACACCACCACCCAGCAAAAAAAAAAAAGAAATGATAGAAAATTATGTTACAGACGAAGGAGCAAGGTAAAAACCTATAAGCCCACATAAATGAAGATGAAATAGGCAACCGACCTGAAAAAGAACTCAGAGTAATTATAGTAAACATAATCCAAAATCTCAGAAACAGAATGGAGAAAATACAAGAAATATTTAACAAGGATCTAGAAGAACCAAAGAGCAAACAAACAGTGATGAACAACACAATTACTGACATTAAAAATACTCTAGAAGGAATCAATAGCAGAATAATCAAGGCATAAGAATGGATAAGTGACCTGGAAGATAAAATGGTAGAATTAACTGCCAGAAAGCAAAATAAAGAAAAAAAAAATGAAAAGAATTGAGGACAGTCTCAGAGACCTCTGGGACAACATTAAATGCACCAACATTCGAATTATAGGGGTCCCAGAAAAAGAAGACAAAAAGAAAAGGTCTGAGAAAATATTTGAAGAGATTATAGTCAAAAACTTCTCCAATACAGGAAAGGAAATAGTCAATCACATCCATACAGGAGGGCTTCCCTGGTGGTGCAGTGGTTGAGAGTCCGCCTGCAGATGCAAGGGACACGGGTTCATGCCCCGGTCCAGGAGGATCCCACATGCCGTGGAGTGGCTGGGCCTGTGAGCCATGACCACTGAGCCTGTGCGTCTGGAGCCTGTGCTCCACAATGGGAGAGGCAGCAGCGGTGAGAGGCCTGCGTACTGCAAAAAAAAAAAAATCCATACAGGAGAGAGTACCAAACAGGATAAACGCAAAGAGAAACACACCAAGACACATATTAAGCAAACTATCAAAAATTAAACACAAAGAAAAAATATTAAAAACAGGAAGAGAAAAGCAACAAATAACATACACTGGAATTCCCATAAGGTTAACAGCTAATTTTTCAGCAGAAATTCTTCAAGCCAGAAGGGAGTGGTAGGACATATTTAAAGTGATGAAAGGGAAAAACCTACAACCAAGATTACTCTACCCAGCAAGGATCTCATTCACATTCAGTGGAGAAAATAAAACCTTTACAGATAAGCAAAAGTTAAGAGAATTCAGCACCACCAAACCAGCTTTACAACAAATGCTAAAGGAACTTCTCTAGGCAGGAAACACAGGAGAAAGACAAGACCTACAAAAACAAACCCAAAACAATTAAGAAAATGGTAATAGGAACATACATATTGATAATTACTTTAAATGTAAATGGATTAAATGCTCCAAGACACATAGACTGGCTGAAGGGATACAAAAACAAGACCCATACATATGTTGTCTACAAGAGACCCACTTCAGACCTAGGGACAAAACAGACTGAAAGTGAGGGGGTGAAAAAGATATTGCATGCAAATGGAAATCAAAAGAAATCTGGAGTAGCAATTCTCATCGCAGACAAAATAGAATACTACAAGAGACAAAGAAGGATGCTATACAATGATCAAAGGATCAATCCAAGAAGAAGATATAACAATTGTAACTATTTATGCACCCAACATAGGAGCACTTCAATACATAAGTCAGATGCTAACAGCCATAAAAGGGGAAATCGACAGTACAACAATCATAGTAGGGGACTTTAACACCCCACTTTCACCAATGGACAAATCAACCAAAATGAAAATAAATAAGGAAACAAAAGCTTTAAATGACACATTAAACAAGATGGACTTAATTGATATTTATAGGACATTCCATCCAAAAACACCACAATATATCTTCTTTTCAAGTGCTCATGGAACATTCTCCAGGATAGACAATATCTTGGGTCACATATCAAGCCTTGGTAAATTTAAGAAAATTGATATCGTATCATGTATCTTTGCCGACCATAGTGCTATGAGAAGTTATCAATAATGGAAAAAACTGTAAAAAATACAAACACATGTAGGCTAAACAATACACTACTGAATAACGAAGAGATCCTTGGAGAAATCAAAGTGGAAATTGAAAAATACCTAGAAACAAATGACAATGAATACACGACCACCCAAATCCTACGGGATGTAGCAAAAGCAGTTCTTACAGGGAAGTTTATAGCAATACAAGCCTACTTCAAGAAACAAGAAACGTCTCAAATAAACAACCTAACCTTACACCAAAAGCAATTAGAGAAAGAAGAACAAGAACAACAACAGGGCTTCCCTGATGGTGCAGTGGTTGAGAGTCCGCCTGCTAATGCAGGGGACACGGGTTCATGCCCTGGTCCGGGAAGATCCCACATTCCATGGAGTGCCTAGGCCCGTGAGCCATGGCCACGGAGCCTGCGCATCTGGAGCCTGTGCTCTGCAATGGGAGAGGCCACAACAATGAGCCCTGTGTACTGCAAAAAAAAAAAAAAAAAAAAATTACAACAACAAAACAAAACCCCAAAGTTAGCAGAAGGAAAGAAACCATAAAGATCAGATCAGAAATAAATGAAAAAGAAATGAAGGAAACAGTAGCAAAGATCAATAAAACTAAAAGCTGGTTCTTTGAGAAGATAAACAAAATTGATAAATCATTAGACTCAACAGAAAAAAAGGGAGAGACTCAAATCAACAGAATTAGAAATGAAAAAGGAGAAGTAACAACAAACACTGCAGAAACACAAAGCATCATGAGAGATTACTACAAGCAATTATATGTCAATAAAATGGACAACCTGGAAGAAATGGACAAATTCTTAGAAAAGCACAACCTTCTGAGACTGAACCAGGTAGAAATAGAAAATATAGATGGACCAATCACAAGCACTGAGATTGAAACTGTGATTAAAAATCTTCCAAGAAACAAAAGCCCAGGACCAGATGGCTTCA